GTGATTTTTACTGACATCAGCCCCCACCAAAAGAAATCTTGAAAATAGATCTATATTATTATGCATTCTCAGAAAGGGTAGGCAGGTATACATGAGAATGTATAATTTTAGTGAAACGTAGAAAGGCTCACCCAGATGTATAAAACATAAATTTGTGCAGTCATCTGTAGAAATTTTTTATCAAGGTGGTTTAGCCTTGCTCAATCATATGATAGATACAGTGAACATTCAACATCACTAACTATTTAAATAATTAATGACAATGCAGACTATTGGAAGCCAAAACACTTGACATTAAAGAAATCTAGGATTACTTTAGCATATGTACCATTCAGTTTTATATACACGATGGATGATACAGTGTAGAGTTTGGGTGCTTTGGATTCAGATCTGGATTTAAAACTTGGTGATATCCCAGCCAGGCATGGTTCAGTGGTTAAGTGTGGACCTATGAACCAGGAAGTCGAGGTTCGATTCCTGGTCAGGGCACATGCCCGGGTTGCAGGGTTGAAGGCTTGATCCCCAGTGTGGGGCGTGCAGGAGGCAGCCGATCAATGGTTCTCTCTCACTGTTGATGTTTCTACCTCTTTCTAACTCTCCTGTCCTCTCTGAAATCAATAAAAATATATTAAAAGAAAAAAAAACAAAACTTGGTGATAGCAATTACTGATGGTGTAAGGGAAGTTAAGAGACTTGGGTAAGTTTCTCTAACCCTCAGTTTCTCAATCCACAAAATGAGGAAAATAAGCAATACAAATTTATAGGGTTAAGATTAAATAACATTTATTAAAGGCCTGACTGGCACAAAGTTGGTACACAAATAAATGGCACCTGTTATTGTTATAGCTTTTAAGTGATCTGGAGATAAGATCTGCTCAAACTATATCCCAAGAAACCAGAAACACCAATCAGAAAGGATATATGCACCCCTATGTTCATAGCAGCACAATTTACAATAGCTACTAAGATTTAGAAACAGCCTAAGTGCCCATCAGCAGATGAGAGGATTAAAAAACTTTGGTACATCTACACAATGGAATACTATGCTGCTATAAAAAAGAAGGAACTTTGACCATTTGCCACAGCATGGATGGAACTGGAGAGCATTATGCTAAGTGAAATAAGCCAGTCAGAGAAAGATAAATATCACATGATCTCACTCATATGTGGGATATAATAATCAACATAATTTGAAGAACAAGAATAGATCCAGAGACAAATGGTAGGGGAGGGGGGAAGTTAGAGAGCAACCAAAGGACTTGTATGCATGCATATTAGCATAACCAATGGTCAGACACTGGGGTGGTGGGGGCTTGCCCGGGGTGGGAATGGCTTGGGGAGGGGGGTGTCAATGGGGAAAAAGCAGACATATGTAACGCTTTAGACAATAAAAAAAAATCTGCTCAATTATGCTCCTTGGGGACTGGGCCTTCTTGGTAGTCTATGCCCCCCTGACCACACCCCCCCTCGCCCTGCCCCATGCAGCCAAAGACCAAAAGGAACACACCTGGAGTAGGAGAAGTTGGGTTTAATTTTTGTTGAAGAGAACCAGAAAGCTTACCATGGGGCATTGTGAAGTGTCTCAGTAAGAGGGCTTTATAAAGAGCTTATTATAGGATTTGGAATTTTGTTTTGTGATTTGGGGAAGCTCCAAGGAAGAAGGGGTTCACTCTAGATTGGCTACTGCCACAAAGCAAGGGCAATTCTACAGGGAGGACAGACCAGAGTGAGGCTAAAGCTACAACTGGACAAGCAGCAGCAGCCACTCATATCAGCTGGGAGAAGGCAGTTTGGCATTTCGTGGGTGACACAGTGACCTTGTTTTTGTCTGTGCTTAGGCAACATTTCAAAATGGTCTTGTTTTGTCTCATCTTACCATGGTCTCAACATAACCTTGTCTACTGGTGTTCTGAGAAACTGTTTATGTTCTAACAACACTGAGGCCTCAGTGTCAGATCAATTCCTGGATATCAGCGGCTGCTTTTTCTCAGTATCTTTTCAAAGTATCTAGGAGGCCAGATCCATTACATGTGCTTAATAAGCTTCCTGATTTAATTAATTAATTTAAAACTGAGTCTACAAAAATACTTACACTACTACTTTTAATAAAGAAGCTTGCTTGGTTCACTATACCTCTCAAAAGAAGTGGCAGTATAAAAACAACCAATTTGATTTTATTACAGATGGAAAGTCTAAGTGATCTTATTAAGATCAGTCTTGAACCAAGAGCTAAAATACAGACTCTGGTCATTTTACCTTCCTCTATAAGATGTAATGTTATACTTCATTAGTAGGTTCTCTCTTCCTCTGATGACTGTACTAGGTGGGCAAATTATTTTCTTCATCAATCACCACGGTCTTAACAAAAAAACAAACAAGCAAACCTGGTGCATATGCTTAATCATTGCTTAGCCAGACCTTGAAAAGAATTATACCTTTAATTTTAAAAATCCATATTATGCATACCTTTCTTCTTCAAATGATGAATGTTATTTTCATGAGTAATATAAATTATTTAATGGTCAATTATCATAACAGCTTTAGGGGAAAATGTTTTCATGGTACACTTTAGTACATTTTGGGCTTACTGTTTGCCATTCTCATCCCAAACTGGATATTAAGCATTTTAAGTTTCTAATACTTCAGTAATTTTGAAAGAGTGAATCAATTTTAAAAACTGGCTATATATCACCTATTTTAGAATACATTTTACTGCCATGTCATACTCCCCTCACTCCAGCTCTTTTGGAGTAATCCATGACAACTCATGCTACTGACTGCCCCACAATCATGGTCTGCCTCAGTTCCAGTGTTTTCCTACTTGAAGATATTGTAAATGAAAAGCATAACAATCATAATCTCAAGTAACACAGAACTTGTGAGGAAATAAGCAAGGCTTGGTGTGGTGAGGTCAGTGCTGAATTATAGCAAGGCCTTTATTAGAGGACATAGAAAAGCACTTGTTCTAGCAGATGCTCCTGAACTGTCTAGGGCAAGCTTCTCATTCCTACTCAACAGGAGAACACTTGGCTAGAGTTTCTCATAACTGGAATATCAAGAGCAATAGTAAACAGTTAAAAAGGTTGAGCTCATCAAGCCTGTAAAGAATCAAAGCAAATACCAGATGTTAAACTATCTGTTACTAAATGCCCTCATTAATACTTTAAGTATTTGAGGGGGAGAAAAGTGGAAAACTTCATTCAGAAGTTCTGGAGTCTCACAAAAGCAGATATATTGAAAAAAGCTGCTATTAAATAAATAAAATCAAGATTTAGAGTGACTTAATATAATAAAATACATAATAAAGTAATATGTGTATATATATTTTATCTATGTATGTACATATCTGTGAGTATGAGTGTGTGTGTGTGTGTGTGTGTGTGTGTGTGTAGGTACTGTGAGAAATAAAAATATTTCCAGATATAAATGAAGATCAAGGGTATTTACCATTTAAATATCTCAAGTGATTTTTGTTAGTTAAGTTGATGCCAATAAAGGCTTTCAAATTTTTATTAACAACTACAAAGAATCTCCAAAATTAAAAGTATGTTATAAAAATGAAATATCTTTCTAGGACAAAAAGTACTAATACATTTTACCATAAATTAAATCACATTGTTTATAATATATAATCCTATAATTTTATATGAATATGGACCATGTGATATTTTTATTAATTCAAATGGATGCTATACTCACAAAATTTACTTTTTTCTGCACAACTGAAAAAAAGAATCAACAAACACCTCATAATTAGTTCTCATTCATTTTAAGAATATGACTTATATAATATATGTTATATATATCAAGTTTAACAATTTGAATAAGAGATAAAAAAACAATGACTAAGCTGCAACTTTTATATACTTGGGGGGGTCAAAACTCTGTACTAGTCAGTAATGGCTTAATTATAGCACTGTCTGGATCATCTACAAAAAAGCAATGATAAAGAGATAAGAGGAGTTTAGCAGAGCATCCAGAAATATAAAGATGAAGAATAAAAATCTTAACCACTGGGATAGAAGCTATTCTAGAATTTATCCATCTGCTTAGTAAATATTGTCTTAACTTAGTATTTTATAAAATTATAAATCCAGTGAATATGACAAATTAAAAGATGTTAAGAGTCCTCCAGGTATGTCAGTGTTCTATGTGATTTCAGAGGAATGACATCTTATTGGGGAAATAGTTCATGATTTTCTTTAGAGGACAATGATAATTATTAAATTACAAGACTAAATATTTCCTTATTAAAGCATACATAAAAAACACATAACATGCACAGAGTGCTATTTCCTAAATTATCCTTCAAGTTAAATTAATAATGACACCCAGATTTTTTTCCTAAGAACTTAATTCATGTATAAATAAACTTCTCTATCACAATTTTAAGTCAACTCATAAAATAATTTTGCAGAGTATATATTACAGTTAATTCTTTATTTCTGCCCATTATTATTCTTCAAAGACTGAGAATTTGAATGTTAAGTCTTACCTGACCAGGTTCTGTTCCAGTAACAGTCAAGTCTTGGATGGATCTACGTCTTGGCTGTCCGTTGCCTTTTAAAAAATAAAAGAAGTAAAATACCGAAATCTATTCAGACATACAATAAGGATTTGATTGCTACAGTAGGAAGTTCAAATTTGTTGCTCCTTGAATCTATACAAAATGTTTGTGAGAAAAAAACTGAATTTATTATTTAAAAAATAAAAAGAGAGAAAGGTGTAAAAAAAAAAAAAAAGGGAAGAGAAACAGCTGGAATGTTTTAACTCAAAAGTTGCCGGCCTACAACAAAGCATGTCCTAATACAATAACCACTCCTACCACACGACTAGCTGCTGAACTCTCTCCCACCATCTTCTGTCATGTATTTAAATAGATGAATGCTTGGGGGGTGGGGCTGATGACGGCATCTATTTCAAGGGCCTTACGTTACAGCTTCTACAGCAAGACAGCTATCAGGTTGTAAGACATGACTGACTTTAACCAACAGCAGTACCTTCTTCATTTCAGGGCCTAAAAGGATGCTTAGGCTTAAAATTGATTAAACCTAGTCACACTTACTTAAGCCCATTAGTCTTTGTCAGACTCAGGTAATCTGTTAGTTGTGAACAACTCTTTAATTTCCTACTGGAGATGAATGACTCTCATTCTGTTCTCAAATATACAGCTTGTTTAAATGGGCTATTGAGTTAATCCTGCTTTAGGAACTTCTATGCTGTAATAATTTAAAAATCAATTCATGAAAGAATTCTATAAATTTAAGTCTTCAACAAAAGAGAATGAATTAAGCATTAGCTTCACTCAGCACTTTTATTTGGGATGAGAGATCAGCTGTCTAAAAGGAAACACCGAAATATTATGAGTAACAGCTGACACAATACTCGAAATTCTTTTGACTCTGAAAGCTATATTATGCAATTTCTCAACTGTGGGCAGCCCCAGGAACATGTACTCTAATAGCTGTGCCCTGATCAGCAGGCAGAATTCATTCTTAAAATTTACACTTCCATATTCTAAGTATCTTATTTTAAACCAATCAGCAATATAATTTAGCACATTAATCCATTAGACCCCATTACTACTTTACACATAAACTAAAAGGATCTTACAATAAAATAATGTTTGATGCAATAATGTGTAGTGAATATAAAAGCTCAAATGTATAGCCACCCTTGAAAGTGTAAGACATCATCACTCTTTTCCATTTTAAACTATGTTTAAAATTCTTTATGTAATTATAACTCAAAAATGTACTTCAAATTTCATTTTATTCCAGTTCCAACTTTTGATTACAAACTAACAGAGCAACAAACTGCACATTTATGGAATCAGGCACACTAAGATACTTTTATGAAAACTTTTAACTATCCCTGTTTTTGGAAGACAAAAAAGATCTCCACTACCGTCATGACTAATAAGCAATTTTAGGCACATTTCATTCAACACAATCATTCTAAAATTAGCTTACATGAGACAGGCTTGTAAAAGTGTCTGGAATTCTCTTTTCAGATAAGCAACATTTGTGAACCTGGGGAACCACCCAGCACATGTGTCTAAAAATCATTACATCACCACTGCAATAACAACAAAAACAAACTCAAATCTAGGTGAAGGTTAAGAGAAAAGGGAAGTAAAAACTTTTAAGGAAATAGGGTAAAGAAGAGCTGACAGTTCACAAATGCCATAAAATGAAAAATCTTTTAAGCTACAGCATGAGTCAAAGCAAGCAATATTAAGCAATGTATTTAATTAGCATAACCAAAGCAGAAACCATTTGGCAAATAGTTCAGACAAAGCAGAAAAAGATTACAATCAACAAATACTTGTTGCTCCAATATTAAATTTTAGGTTGTAATTTAGAAATATGAATGTAAAAAAATATCAAATACCTATCATTAAAAATGAAAATTACTGGGTGTGTTCTTAGTAAATTTAGATTGATTCTGAATTTTTTTGCAACTAAATACTAATTTAGAAACTCACTTATTTTACATTTGTTAATGGTTCCTTGATATGTGAATATCTATGTTACACATGGTAGTATAAAAGAACAAAAAGTAGAAAAGAGGAGCAAGATGCCTATCTAACCAGGTTTTCTTAGCACTGGCACTACTGACATTTTAGGCTGGACAAATCTTGGCTGTGGTAGGCTGTCTGGTACAGTGTTGATGTTTAGCAGGATCCCTAGCTTCTACCTACTATATGTCAGCAGCACCTGCCAACTGCGACAACCAATGTTTCCAGACATTGCCAAATGTGCCCTGGGAGGGGGAGAGGGGGGCAAATTCACCCTGATTGAGAACCACTGAGACTATTATTTTCTCCTATTCTCTCTCCCTCATCTTGTATAGTATTGGCTGTATTGCCCACTGTGTGTGTGTGTGTGTGTGTGTGTGTGTGTGTGTGTATGTGTGTATGTTTACCCCTAAGACCTGGATTAAGATTATACTACCATTTGCCTAAATTTTCCTGATTCCCTCAAACATTTATATAATCACAGTTCAGCAATATGTGTGTAAAATGCTGCCACTTTAGTTAGAATATTATTCCCTTAAACATATAGTACCTTTTACCATGAAGTAAAATGATCTCAAGTACTTGTTAATTTTGAAAGCAACCCATGACTCAATAAATAAAATTACAATGTAACAAACAGGTTAACTCTATTCTCTGAACAGCAATAGTGATGATATAAAACAAAGTACTTTGATAACCAGAATGAAAAGTAATTATGCTAAAAAAAATGGTTTTGTATACATAAAATGGCCCCTAGGAATTGTATAATTTATATTTTATACATATTTATAATTTATATGGATCCTATATGTATGCTAATTCCTGGCCACTGAACCTCAATTATAATTTGTTAAACAGGCACAATTTATTAAACACTATGTAAAAGACATTGACCAGTTCTGATTCAATCAATACTAAATAACAAAGACATTGTCTCTATCCTCAGTTTTCAGTTTCCTTGAGGAGAAAAAAAAGCCCACTAGGTATTCAATAGTATGCTAAAAGCACAATCACAGGCAAAGTACCAGAGTGCTAGAGAATTCACCCAAAGCACACCCATGAATGTGTGGAAGGGAAATTGTAATTTTCTTATCAAAATTTGGGGGCAGGAGGTAGAGGAAAACCTAAAGCAGAGGGATAAAGAAATGATAATTTGGATAACACATATTAACCAATATTGAAGGTCACAGATGCCATTAAAGCTTCTATCAAAAATGGTGATTTAGAACTTTAAGTACCATGTGTGAGTTAGGTATAAAAAGTAATTTGTGGGAAGACTGTCCTGATAATGCACAAGAATCAGAACTGAACATGATTCTTTGGCAAGATACCATGCAAAACAGCAAATCTCATTTAATTTTACTTTCTGTTTTCTAAGTTAAGGCAAAATGGTATTTAGCAATCCTCTTTTCTCAACTTCATATTTCACTTGCTACCAAGAGAAAGAGGCTGGGATAGAAAGCCTAGCGGACACCCCTAAAATAGTAACTAAGAAAGAAAAGGAGCCAAGGACAACAAATATTTTTTAAATAGTTGTTTCCTCTTTCTGCTGGGTGCAAAAAAGGTCTGGGTTCAGTTTATCTACTCACCTAAGAGCTGAGAGGAAGTTGGTAAAGTCTGGGCAGGCATTCTCCCCTCTGTGAAAAGGTTTACTTTGCCTTCTATTTTATCCTCATTTTTGGATATCTGAGGTATCCTGTCAAGCCCACTTCAGTGTAGATAAATGTATACATTTTCAATCTGTCTCCCTAATTACTGCATGCAAGGTACCTATTTTCATGTCCTACAAAAATTGGAGCAAGAAGCATTTTGTAAGTACCAGGGATCATTATTCCGGTTCCACAGTTATTGGACCAACTCAGGTGGCCTATGATACCTGATATGACGATCTCAGGGACATCCAGAATGTTGCCAAATGAAGCAGTTTTACGATGGCCCCGTTTAGGCTTGGAACAGGCTGCAAAAACACATATACACAGTATACATGCAAACAACCACAAAAGTAACACAGAAAACAATAAATTACAAAACGAAATAGTTTTCAAATAGTTATGTTAATAACACTCCGTGCAGAAAGGCATGCAGAACTATCTGACTTTTCATCCATGCTCAGAAAAGGCGTGATTAAGGAGCAAACAACTACCAATACAAGATGTTTCACACACTGGCTTTAATTAGCAGAAGAAAAAAAAAAAGAAAAGAAAAAGGGACAGAGACAAACAAAGCTGCAGGGTAATGAGGAAGCTAAATACAAATATGTTCATAGAGACAATCTACCTAAGTGAAACCACTGATATACAATGGAGGGGCTAGGATGAAAGTGGGGAGGAAGAGAGGAGTTAAAAGAAATAAGCTACCATATTTGTTTTATTATAAAAATACAGGAATATATGTTCAAGTTAGGTGTTTTTTGAAGTGTGCTATAAAGTAGAATTCATTGGTTAAATGATAATTATTGCATCAAAGTATAAAATGTATATGCTTTTATAATTATAAATATTTACATATACTTCTAGTAGACTGAGTATTTATTGTAGTTTCAAAGTTTAGGGTACATTCCTGCTAAACATGAATAGTGTTGAAAAGCTAGAGAAAATGAACCTTTCAAAGTAAGGTAATTCACTAAAAACATCTGAACTGTGTAGAATTCAATGACTGTTCAATAGCACCTATTCTACATTTAGGCAGAAAAAGGATAGGGTAATTTAAATGCGTATAGTTATCTTTAACCTAGTGAAATGTCATTTCTGTAAAGAATAATTATAAACCAGTACCTGACTAGAATATTGACACCGGCAGATATAAAATTATTATAGCACTACTTCCTGTTTTAAGGAGGAAATCACTATTTGGCAGGTCTATCTTGAATGATATCCCTGAAACGGAAAAGATTCTCCAAAGTGTGAGGGCATATCCCTACTTATTTGATACTACAGTGAGTCTCCCCCGCTCCACAGAAACACTTGTGACTCATAGAGACCAGATGAGCTTATCAGTGGCTAGTGATCTCCCATCAACTTGATCGTTTCTGAAGATCCACCTGTATGGCAGAGACTGCTGGTGCCCTCCCAATCATTATTTTCCCCTTTTTCTTAGCAACAGAGCCCTGACTTTACTCTGGAAAAGCTCCATGAAGAGCTTGGATATGTGCCCTTTGGCCTTCTCCTAATTTTTCCTTCCTGCTGTCTGGATTGTGTGGATGTGATGATTGGAGCTGTAACAACATTCTGGAGCACCCAAGTATCTATGAGGATGGAAGCCACACAATAGGGACTGTGGCACAGAGGGACAGAAGGAATCTAGTTGCCTAATGATCATGAAGCCTACCTCCAGATTTGTTTAAGTGTGAACAATAAAAGTTTATGTGTTAGACACTGTTATTTTGGACACTCTGTTATATCGACCTGATTCTAATGCTGACTAATAAAATCATTGATCATGATTAGTTGAAGTCAAGTATAGTATGATTGTCCTCTGGACAACTTCTATCTGAAAATAACTCCACACAAAATGAGAATATTCAATTTAGAAAAAAACCAAATGAATGACAAAAGATCTAAAAAACAAACAAAACAAAAACCTGGTTAGTTAATTTTTAAAATATATATATGCTAATATACATGTACATACATATATAACTATGGGACACTATGAAAGACTGATTTTTTGTTTATATTTCCACATTTTTCACAAAAGAAATGTATTTAGGTGTATAATGACTTCCCTCCACTCCTGGGGGAATCAGAAAGAAGGCAAATTAAACCACCATTACTAAAATGAAACCTAGCTAGAAAAGAAGGTTAGATGTTTACGCAGGTAACAACACATATAATTTTTGTGTGTGACCAGTCCTTCCATAATTAATAATTTTAAGAACTGACAAAATGGAAATGTTAGCGTTTTCAAGATCAAATATAATTAACATAATCTTTTATTTTATAATTAAAAGCATTAACCACAACCAACTTAACTACCTTTGCTACGAGCAGGAGGAGCAGATAGTAAGGTCAAATCATATATGAATCTGGAATACATTTTTTTGCTAATTTCAAAACAAGATATTTGCTATTATTTGAGTTTAGCACAACATTCTAGTAGAATCACTCATAATCTTCCAGCCCTGGCCGTTGTGACTCAGTTAGTTGGAGTATTCTCTCATGCACCAGAAGGTCGCTGGATAGATTCCCAGTAAGGAAACTTACCTGGGTTGCGGGTTCAATCTCCTGTCGGGTGCGTGTGGGAGACAACCAATGTATTTCTCTCACATCAATGTTTCTCTCTCTCTCTCTCTCTCTCTCTCTCTCTCTCTCTCAAAAAATTCAAAAACTTGCAAAACATGATTTTGGTAAAATTTCAATTTCTCATTTAGATTTATTTTCTGCTCATGTTTACACTGAAAGAATAACATCTGATAAAATCTGTAAATAGAAACATATAGTGTATGGTCCAAATAATTTCATAAGTCCTATCATCTTCCTTATTGCAATTTGAGAGAAATGTGTAAATTATTGCTAAAAGTTAGAAAGTAACTTTTAAGCCTACTTCCTGCTTCAAAAATTTTTAAGACACAAAAATCCCTGATAACTGAAACAACTGAAACTATCATTTTCACTCCTCTTCACACTTTTATTTCCTTTTTACCTGTAGTCGCAGCAATCCTGGCTTCTATTTCAGACATGTCAGCACTCATCCTCTTGCCCTCGGAGGTTGGGGGCAAGCTCTCTACGCTGTTCCCACGGGAAGCTCCCAAGCTTAAACGGCCAGATTCACTCTGTTAAAATTACAGGTCAATGTGAATTACTGAAACTCTGGATTTAAAATCCTAGACAGCCTAGAACAGCCGTGGGCAAACTACTGCCCGCGGGCCGGATCCGGCCCGTTTGAAATGAATAAAACTAAAAAAAAAAAAGACCGTACCCTTTTATGTAATGATGTTTACTTTGAATTTATATTAGTTCACACAAACACTCCATCCATGCTTTTGTTCCGGCCCTCCGGTCCAGTTTAAGAACCCATTGTGGCCCTCGAGTCAAAAAGTTTGCCCACCCCTGGCCTAGAAGGAGGAAAAATACCAACTGGGATTCTTATGAGTTCTGTTTCTGAAAGAAAAGGGAAGTTTTCAGGGAAAGGGAGCTACAGGGTTAAGGGAGAGCAAGCTGTAATACTGGCCTTCAGAGAAGGGTGGTCACTGGAGTTAAATGCCCCAATTATTAGTTAACCTAAATGCCTCAGGCAAGATGAATAAAATCACACCTTAAATGGCAAAAATATATCTGAACAACATGAAATGATAGATTTAGGACAACTTTAACTGGATAGTACAGCCAAGAAATAGCCATTTGACATTTTTAAACATTAACCATTAAAGTTAGGAATCACCATAGGGAGAGAGCTGCACAGTTGGCAAAGGCAGCAATCATCAGAAGGGAAAACAATTTGGTAATAGGAGATTCTCATATGTCTCTACTCTTAAGCTTATCTGTTTCAGAAACAAGATTCAGAATTTGTATAATGGAAGATGGCAAATCATTTCAGTTGGTATAACATTATGACTACTAAGGTTACCATATGATTTTACTTTAATAACAAAACAAACCTGTTGCTTTGCCTGATTTTTCAATAATTTTGATTCTAAGCGTTTAATAGTATCATTTGTGGAAGGAACTTGCTCCATATTAGTGTCACTTTTATTACTGGTATTTGTAGAAGCAATGTCCATGAATGAGCCTAGGAAAGCAGAAACATTTATGAATAATAAATACAAATGCTTCATCAATATGTAATGTAAATTCTTTTCTAAACTAGCAAGACATAAATAGATGTTCCAAGCTAATGGAGATAGCCTCCCCCCAAATTTTTAAGTGAAATTTAAGAATAACACAAAAAGGGACCAAAATACCTAAATAGTCTTCTCATAGTCAAAGATGCTTTAAAGTTGTTAGCCTGAACTAGTAGAATGAAGTGCCTATTAATCAAGATGGGGAAGATCAAGGTAGGAGTGAGTTTGAAAGGAGTACCAGGAGCTTAGTTTGGAAAATGATAAGTTTGAATTCCTATTAGATATCATGCAAGTAGTTGGATGAGTGTAGAGTTCAGGTCTGGGATGGAGTAAAACATCGGCAAATAGATAGTACATAAAGCTATGATATTAAACGAGATTACCAAGGAAATAAGTGTAGACAGATAAGCAAAGAGTCCAAATTACTGAGCCCTGGGCACTCTAACATATATAGCCTGGGAAGATAAGAAATAATCAGCATAGGTAACCATCAGAATAGTGGCCAGAAATATAAGACAATCTAGGCTAGTATGGGATCCTGGAGACCAACTGAAGAAAGTCCTGTAAGAAGGAGTATAATGAACTGTATCAAATGCTGATAGTAAAAAAAGATGAGAACTGAAAATTATTTAGATATAATAATCTGGAGATAACTGGTGACAACGTGAGAAGAGCAATTCTGAAGTATTGGTATAATAAAAGCCTGAAGAGGAGAGGACACAAGAGAGAATGGGAAGAGAAGCTAGAAAATCAAATATAGACTGTATATGCTCTGGGAATGATACCAGTAAAAAGGCTAAAACTGATGATGCCAGAGATAGGGGGAAGGATTGCTGGAATGGGATTTAATACACGAGTTCACAGGCTTGCCTTTGGCTAGAAGCAGGGGCAGTTCAGCCATAGTAATAGAAGAAAATGCTGAGTAGATGGGCAGATATAGTGAAGGAGCTTGTGGAAACCATCTACTGATTACTCCATTTTTTTTTCAGAGAAATAGTAAACAAGGTCAGCTGAGAGTGAGGAGAGTTTAAAGTTTGAGGAGAGAGGCTAAAATATAAAATTAAATCATCTAGGAGAGGCGAGATGGACTAAAATAAAGTGCAACTGTCCAGCAGCATTAAATAGAGATTTGAGGATAGTAAATAAATGTGTGTCATCTCCAGCCACCTTCAGCTGCACTGATATGTGGAGTAAGCTGAGAGTCAGATTTAACCAGGCCTGTGGTTTAGCCAAGGAAGCTTGAGTAAAGGGCTAGAAGGCTGAGAATTATTCCCAATGGAATTATAAAAACTGCTTGGAATTAAATGGAGGAAAAAAGGAAGAACCTAGGAGGACTGAGGGTCAGTGAAAAGATAAAAGGGTTAAAGGTCAAGGGAGAGGGTTTGAAAGCAAAAGCAAAAAACAAAACAAAACAGAATTTTAGCGTTCACTTTAAAATTTAGCACAACTAAAATATTTTCAGTAAAACTGGAATTTGGAAATAACTAGCCAAACAGTAACCAGCTTAAAATAAATATAATTATTTTTGAGGTGGGAGCTATAGGTCAGTGAAAATATTTGTCAATAAAAATAAAATTTTGAGTATATACACACACACCTTTTAATTTTAATTAATAATAAAATGTCATAATGTATTCCCAAATATATATTTAGTACAATTTTTCTAAGAGTATTATTTCTACTATCATTTTTTTTAAGTTCTTATTTATTTGAGAGAGAAAGATAGAAACATCGATGAGAGAGAAACATTAATCTGCTGCTTCCTGCATGCCACCTACTGGGGGTTGAGTCCGCAACCTGGGATACAACCAGTGACCTCTGGTACATGGATCGATGCTCAACCAAATGAGCCACACCAGCCAGGGCTCTACTATCTTTTTTGATGACCATAATCTATGAATTATATTTAGAAAACTGAGGAACTCTGAACTAAAATTGTAGAAGAGTCTCTGTAAACTCTTCTATAAAGAGCAAAAAAAAAAATAAGGTGAGCATAATGAAGAACAATGTTGTTACATATATTTACAATAATTTCTAATAGTATTTGATCTAGCAGTATCTATATATAAACTATCTTTCAAAGAAAGAATAGCATTCACAGTAATATAATATGCAATCGTTTTATATATAACTATACAAGAATCCCAAGATTTGGAAGCACAACTTTAATAACTCTTTAATCTTGGACCTTCATGACGAATGGTGCACCTGGAAACTCAAACTGTAGTCAGTCTTGCGAAATGAAGAAATTAAACTGCAAATGAAGACCATAATTTTTTGGGAAAGATACAAAAAAAAATTAGATGATTATTCTTCCGATCTCTCTGCTTACCTGTACTGGTGGCCGAGTTGCTCTGTCCCTCATCCGAGTACTGACAGGGATACTGCAGGGGCTCATCTGCTCCTGGAAAGTACTGCAGATAAAAAGCAAATCTAACTTAAAATTCCTTTCATACAAACGAAATCCTATACAGTTAACTTGAAAAGTACATCCTAATTATTTTGCTATCATGGGACTTGAATGCAGCAAAGATACTGCTTTATTTTCCTTAAGGCAAGAGTGAATTTGTAGATATCTAAGTTTTTGATATTTATAAAGATGACAACAACATGCTCCTTTTCTGAATTTTAATTGTGATCAATGCCATCCCATACAAACCTAATATATTAAGTGTTCGGTCGGCTGTTCAACCAATCAAAGCATAATGTGGTAATGATATGCTAAGGCCGCTCAACTGCTCGCTATGATGTGCACTGACCACCAGGGTGGGGAATATGCTCCGACCGGTAGGTGAGCTTGCTGCTGGGGACTGAGTGAGATGGGCCAGACATGCCCTGGAGCCCTCCCGTGACCCTCCCCGGCCCCGATGGGGTCCCTCGGCCTGGCCTGCGCCCTCTCACAATCCAGGACCCCTCAGGGGATGTCAGAGAGCCAGTTTTGGCCTGATCCCACAGGCCAGGCTGAGGGACCCTGCTGGTGCAGGAATTCCTGCACTGGGCCTCTAGTGCAGTGGTTGGCAAACTGCGGCTCGCGAGCCACATGCGGCTCTTTGGCCCCTTGAGTGTGGCTCTTCCACAAAATACCGACTTCTCATGGGCCACGAAGTTTCAATCGCACTGTACATACGCGCCCGCACGTGGTATTTTGTGGAAGAGCCACACTCAAGGGGCCAAAGAGCCGCATGTGGCTCCGCAAGGCGCGGTTTGCCAACCAAAGCTCTAGTGTATTAAATAATGCAGAGACCAGAATCTTGAAGAAAACAGCAAATGTTCTCTAAGGGATCATATGACATACAATAGTATCATTCCTCATAGTTATATGAAACATATTTATGTCCTCAAAGTAGTGATATAAACTTCCAAATTGTTGAAATGATTGTTAGTCTGATAACTGAGATTGGTGTGCCATAGAATGATGGTTAGAACTAATACTTTAAACAAAAGGAAAAGGTTATGCATATATCCCTCTATGACCTGAACATGTAATAGTAGAAACATTTGGTGCACAAAAAATTAGAATTTAAGAGAAAAAAATTTTCTTCTCAAATTAAACAAAACATATATTAAGCACAATTACAATTTGACCAATTTATATATCCCAATATTTTAAGGTATGTGACTCTAGAGACTAAGTTGTTTTCTTAAGAACGTATCTTTACGGCCTAGAATTCTATATATGTATGTAGCTGCTACCCAAATATGATGGTTAGTTTTAATCAGATTAGTTCAAGCTGATTTGTCTAAATTATTTTCAACAGAATGAACAAGCTAAATCTTTGGCCATTTAGGAAATCACTTAGCTATATTTAAGGATATTTGAATATTCTTCTACTGAGCAAATTGTTTTGAAATTCAGGTACTTTTATAGAATGTTAACTTTTTAAAGTCAAGGTACCGCTTGATAGATTTTGTTAGTGCCCCAAAAACAGAGTCCTAAAATTATTCAAATAATTCTCAAAGTGTCTGATTTATAGACTAGGAAATTCTGATAATCATTTAAAAAGGTTGTTCTAAATTTAAAAATTCTATAAATTCTAGAAGAGAATTTAACTTTTTAATGGCAAATGAAAGGCAGAAAATATGCAATGAAAAAACAAAAGGTAAAAAATCACTTGTGTCTACGAATGCAATCTCTCTATTGCCCTGCATAAGTGACTGCTTGATAAAGAAAATTAAAAAGTTAGTTTAGCAAGTGTTAAAAGTCATAAAATACCTAGGTCCTGTAAGGGCCCTAGAGACCACCTAATTGCAAATGAGGCAACAGGCCCAGAAACAAACACATTTACCCACTAAGTTAAGCAGGAGGAAAAAGCAAGTCCCAAAACTTAGTCTAGCCCAGGGGTGGGCAAACTTTTTGACTCGAGGGCCACAATGGGTTCTTAAACTGGACCGGAGGGCCGGAACAAAAGCATGGATGGAGTGTTTGTGTGAACTAATATAAATTCAAAGTAAACATCATTACATAAAAGGGTACGGTCTTTTTTTTTTTTTAGTTTTATTCATTTCAAACGGGCCGGATCTGGCCCGCGGGCCGTAGTTTGCCCACGGCTGGTCTAGCCCCTTTTCATTATAAATAACGAAATTTTTCCCCCTATAATAGTGTTTCATCCTCTGATTACTGAGTAATAAATGTCCTTTGTAACTTGGAAAATACAGAAAAATATAAAGCAGAAATTAGCAATAATGTTTTTTTACTTTAAAACTCCATTAAAACTCAGTACACATCACATGCCCCTAAACACAAAGCCCCTCAAAAGAAGGATTATACCCGCATCAAGTGAGTCATTATTTTCACAATCTCTTCCATTGAAGGGCGTAGAGAAGGATCTTTAGACCAACAGCGAGTCATCAGGCTCTCAATGGGCTTAGGTAAATTTTTGATCAGTGGTGGTCGAGTACCTATGAATAAAAATTAAAGGAGGGGGAAAGAATTTGTTACCCAAAGAATGTTGTCAGCTTTTTATATGTATTTCTAAAACAATATTTATTTTATGGACCTGTAATTTAAGATTTTTTTTGGAGTAATAAAAGTAGGGTTGTTGTTTTTTTGTCTTTTAGGTTAACACTGTATTTTCATAAAGAGGAGAAGCTACACTTTTCAAAAAGTTAAATGAAAAAGTTTACATTCAATATGGTAATAGTAAGCCTGAGAATAATATTTCACCTGTTACAAATATTCTTTTAACAAATAATAATGGCTTAATTTGTGTCTTAAGAAAAATAAAATGGTAGCTTGGGGTAATGTTACTTGAACTATATTTTCAGATTCACTGCAAAAATTTCAAATGTGTTTGAAAAATCATCTTCCATTCCTAAAAACTTATCTCCAAATGACTCTTTTGTGGGAAGGAGTCCTTTTGGCTGCTGTGAATCAATCATTTCATAAGCTGAAAACGGACAATTTCTTGTAATTGCCAAACTTTAATATTATAAGTAAGGTCTCCAACTTAAAGAAGGCCTCAAATACAATGAAACCCTTATAATTTTACCAATTAATAAATTAGTTCTTTTATCCCTTACTTCATTGACATTCAATTATTTACTGACAACTGACAGAGGGGGAGAGGGGGAAAGTCTTGGTCAATGCTCTGGTATTCTCTACAATGACATTAAAGGAAGTAAAATGATAGGTGGTACAGGAAACTGGTAAAGTGTTAAGATTACTCAGATGATAGTACTGTTTGATAGGTCTACAAATGACCTAAATAGGCAGATATCTGTGCATCACTTGTGAAATAGTGTATCAAAATGCCAGTAATCAGAATGATTATAATCAAGTGACAGAAATTAAATAACAGACAGTGATGTTAAAAGTTAGGAAGGTTAAGCAATTTTCCTTCATGAAGAGTTTATTTTCCCAAAGCAAATGTGAAGTAACTTGATTAATGAAGAAGATGAATTCTCAAACCATGGGTCGTTAAAAACATTCTAATTAGAAATATAAAATGAATAGAAGGGATGTAAGGACATTGAATCCATAAATCAACATAACTTTAAAATGTGAGGATTGGAGTCAGAAAACTATAGACTGAATCCCAGAAATACCAGTTATAATCTTTCTTTAAATCCTCACCCAAGGATATGTTTATTGATTTGAAGGGAAAAAGAGAGAGGGAGAAAGAGAGAAACATCAATCGTTTCCTCCTGTATTTGCCCCTACCAGGGACCAAACCCAAAACCTAGGCATGTGCTCTGACTAGGAATCAAATCCACAACCTTTTGGGTATGGGATGACGCTCCAACCAACCGAGCCACCCGGCTGGGGCACCAGCAATTAATCTTGTATGTGACCTTGGGCTAGGTACTGAACCTCTCTAGGTCTCAGTTTCCTAATCTGTAAAACTGTAAAATGAGGCAATCATAGTATGCACCTCATAAGGATGAAGAAGATATAAAGAAAAAATACATAGAACACTTTGTGTTTTGCCTTTCTGCATAGCTTAAGTAACAACTCTTATTATTATTCTTTGCTTTAATCTCTCCAGTGAGATCCTTGTGCTTCCTCAGGAGAAAAAGCTATAGCGCCCCAATGATCTTAATGATGTGAAAGATTTTATATACTTACTAATTTAATTTTTAAATTTATTTCCTCCACAGAGTCCAGGCCAATGCTTCTCTATCCCCTAATCAGTGGTCGGCAAACTGCGGATCGGCAAACCGCGGCTCTTTGGCCCCTTCAGTGTGGCTCTTCCACAAAATACCGACTTTTGCGCATGGGCCATGGAGTTTCAATCGCACTGTATGTGCGCTCCTGCACGTGGTATTTTGTGCAAGAGCCACACTGAAGGGGCCAAAGAGCCGCATGTGGCTCACGAGCCGCGGTTTGCCGACCACGGCCCTAAGTAGTTAGTTGGTTCCCGCTGACTACTGATAACCTTGCTCAAATCAGCACAGCCAGCAGAACCCCTCAGCCTTGTACAAAGGCCAGGACCACTCTAAGCCCTGACCTGCCTGATTTTGGGTTGTGGGGATGGTGGGATACTGATGGCAGAAAAGTATTCTGGTACCAAAGATGTTAAAGATAAATGGTCTTCTTTGGAGGAGAAACAATTTTCCATACAGGGAATATACAAATATATTTTTTAAAATGTTGGTTCACAAACCGTTATGAACAGCCCACATGATACGGAAAGCTGGGCCACCAATCTCATCAAAGGGTTTCCGACGCGTTATCACTTCCCAAAGGATAATACCCCAGCTGAAGACGTCACATTTTTCACTGTAATTGCTACCTACAAAAAAATGTAGTACAATTTGAAGACTTTTTTCCTCATGACTTAAAGAAACAATTGTTTTCATAAATTTTAAGAATGAACATCGTGTACAAACAAGAGGAGCCCACATGCAGAGCTGAGAAATTACTCTTTCTGAAGTTCCTTAAATCTTTGTAAAAAATACACTTTTTAATGAATTAAGTGTTAATAATAAACTAGAAAATCTACTTTAGAAAGTTAGTTATGTTCTACCTTTTCATCTGGGGCAGAGAATGAAACACTTGTACATTCCTTTCTATAATTTTTTAATCTTAAATTTTCTTCTCCCATTCTCTTGATGAAAAGCACTATGTTACTATTGAAGCAGAACAAATATCTAATTTAGTGTTAAGATTTTCTTTTCAATATATGGTAAGATAGAATTCTTAATTTGAAAACTAAAAAATAAGTTGTAAACAGTGAATATTATGAATAACAAATTTACAGTTGGCAGATTATGCAGCAAAATTTAAAGGATTTATAAGTTGGTGGATAAATCATTACAATAAACACCCCCCCCCAAAAAAAACCCAAACCTCAAACAACCCACTATAAGAATGAACAATTATTATAATAGCAGCTCTTCATGTACTTAGCGTACCATATGTACTACACATGCATTTAGCAGTGCATTGTTACAATGACGTTAGAATCTAATTTGGGCTAACTGTGTTGACATCTTTCAGAAATAAAAAAATCTGCATGGCCTAATAGTCTGAGCTTTGTTGCTCTAAACAATTAACAATAACTTTTATTTCTCTTTTTTTTTTGTATAAACAAATATTTTTGGTCTCCATACTACAGGAATGCTGTTATTTTAACTCACAGAAAGGTATATTAAATACATGATTTTTAAACAATGCTAATTATATGCACTCTGTATTTAAACTTGAAAACATTATTATTATGAGGCATTATTTAACTTTGTATAATTTAATACTCACTTGTCCACTAACTTTTAAATTGAATTTTATGGCAAAATGGTTCCACTCAAATGACCATTTGCATAGCAAATTTCTTTCTCTCAGGCGGGTGGCTAAAAACAAAAAAACCGCCTTCAAATTCATAAAAAATAAAAGAATAAACCTTAATCAGAATCTGATTACTGAACGTATTTGAATTTTATGGGCATTCTTGCGTCCTAACATACAAATCATACATCTTCAGTTAAACTTTTCATATTTAAACGACTTGATGTTTTTATAGAAAAACCTAGTATGAAATTTATGGATCACTCTTTTAGAACTTGAGTAAAATATAGAGATGTAAAAGAAAGTAAACATAAGCTTATCCTTTACTTGCTACTCTTACTACTGTATTTTCACCCAATTACTTGCATTCTTCCTAAGGCATGCTCATTTAGATGATCAATTTTTAATTCCTAGGAAACCAATACAAAAGCAGTTAATTCCCATTATTCCTGGTATTTATGTTCAATAAAGTTGCTATGAACATTGAATTAGTGAACACTGAATCACTTTCTCCTAGTGGAAATACAGGGGTAGTTTCCTGTGAGCCTCTTCATAACAGATTTGTCAACTGACCAACACATAACATGTATGTTTCTGTTTAAGACACTTTATTGAATATGTTTGTTGATTCATTAATATTGAACTCATCACCAACAGCACTATAACTCATACCTGAATGAAGATTAGCTAGTACATCTCTGCCAGACACATGATAACCTTCTTATACTTAAGAACACTAGAAAGCGATTCAATACTATTCTTGGAGGCCATTTAAAATAGTGAAATAACTAACAAAAAGCACACGTACACACACACACCCCTGAACAAAAACATGGCACTAGAGAGATGAAAAAATGTCACAGTATGAGAGCTAAAGGCAAGTGCTGCTTTGTTTGACCTTAGCAGGAATCATGTGTTTTGGGGAACTCAAAAATTTTCCCTGCTCTATGCATGCCAGTGAATAACCATGAAAGCACCATGAGTACTGATTTGAAGGTTACACACAGGTAATTTTACAAGTATTGAATCTGAGAATGAAGATCAACTGCACATATGCTTGAACTTGCATAGAAGGTGCTAGACAACTTCAATCTTGCTATGAGATTTAAGATCTAAGGCTATGTTTACTTAATACCTCCTTAGACTTTAGAGAATATACTTTATAATTACTTACCATAGCGAAATAAAACAATGGGCAAGATCATGAACATATTGGTAATAAGACAGATTACTAATCACATCATGCTTGTCATTTTACCTTCAAAGACTTCAGGTGCCATCCAGGCAGCACTCCCCTTGTTATTGGTCATGTGTGTCTGAATATCACAGGCTGTACCAAAATCACAGATTTTTAAAACTGTCCCTCCTGCGACCAGCAGTAAACTGTTAAAAAAAATAATAATAAAATCATAGGTTGCAAGACTCATGTTTGATTCTACAAGAAGAGACGTCTGTGGTATATTAAATAGAAAGGGTTAAGCAAAATGTCACCATTCAACTTCTGTGAAATGTTACCTGGTCACTATGACAACTTAAGAGTTCAGAGGAATATCAGTAAAAATTAATTGATCTCTTAGGAAAATTGCTAGAACCACATTTTGATGTCTCCATCTCTATCTCCATAATCTTTCCTGACTATAGTTTTCTCTGGGTCAAAATAAAATTTAAATCCTAAAATTTATGGATTTTTGGTATATGGGTAGATAGAGAATGAAGGTAGTCATGTAAGCTGTGTAATTATGAAATATAAAATGTTAGAAAACTGAAACGACTTCCTTCCTTTTGTGAGATATTTTCATGTATGTTGTTTAATAACGCAGTTATCACAAAGCCAAAACATGCTCTAATACAGAAGGAAAGGAATACTTTAGGGATTTGCAGCTGATGTTTCTGGCTCTTCCAGGAAAAGGATACTTTGTGCCTGATGCTTTGTGTCTGTATCCTTTGAATCATCAATTTGTTGCTGGAAAAGAGCTATCATTTCCCTGATTTTGCTTTGCTATTCAACTCAATACAGGGGGGATGGAGGACTCAATTTTCATAACCAGCAAAAAAAGAAAAAAGCTAAGTGGCTAAGTGATTTCTTCTTCACTTAGCCAAAATAGGTAGCTGAGAAAACAGCCAACAGCCACAGAAGTCAAATTAAAAAAAAATAAAAGTGTCATGAATCTGGGGATTAAATATTATTTGACCAGGGACCTGGGGAGAAAGAAATCACTTTAAACCTCTGCATAGAAATACAGTACACTAGTGAGAACAGTGATTCCAAGAGTCTGAACCTATATCAGATTAGACATGACAGTGACATGTTATACTCAAAAGGGACGCTTCGCTACTTTGAAACAGTATTAAGAGAATGGAATATTTGAGACTGATTTCCTAGGGAAAACCTATTATGGTGGTCAGAGATGGGCGGGAGAGGGAAGGACACGTGAGAACTCTCTCCCTCTGTCACAAAAAGTTTTAGCCTTTTAAAGTACTTATTTAGGGATTTTTTGTTGTTTTAATCCTCATCCAAAGGCATTTTTTCCATTGATTTTTTTTTTTGGGGGGGGGGGGCAGAAACACATTGATGTGAGAGAGAGACATCGATTGGTTGCCACCCGCACACTCCCTGACAAGGGCTGGGGATGGAACCTGCAACCCAGGTACATGCTCTTGACCGGAAATCAAACCCACAACCCTTCCGTGTTTTAGCTGACGCTCCAACCACTGAACACCACTGGTCAGGGCTACTTAGGGAATTTTGAAGTTCTTTCAAAGTCCCAGAATCCTCAAATGGAGAAATCCAGAATATTTTCAAATTCTACCCAGATACCAGAATTGCCCTTTTGCCTTCCTATGAAAGGGTAAATGATAACCACTCTGTAAATTTTCCTACTATATGTGGACATTGTGCTAGCTGTTAGGGATACACAAGGGACCAAGATAGACTTGTCTCTGCTCCCATGAAACTGTCTAGAGGCAACAATATATACTGCAGGCACAAATAAGATAGGCTAAAAGATTCTAAGTATGCTAATATAAGGTAAGAGTTATTAAAAATAAAATTCAACTAAAATAAAAATGCCACTAAAGACAACGTTCTAAAATGCAAGCTTAGCCTGACCAGTGTGGCTCAATGGTAAGTATCGACCTATGAATCAGAGGGTCATGGTTTAATTATTGGTCAGAGCACATGCCAGAGTTGCAGGCTCAATCCCCAGTAGGGGACGTGCAGGAGGCAGCCAGTCAATGATTCTCTCTCATCACTGATGTTTCTATCTCTCTCTCTCCCTCTCCATTCCTCTCTGAAATCAATAAAAATATACTTTAAAATGCAAGCTTAGATAAATTACTAACTGATGCTGAGTAAAAATAAACACTCTTAAGCCAGCCAAAAGGGAAGAAAGGAGAGAAGCTCATGTGCGACCTATAGCTTGAATTAGGGAGTGAGGAGAGGGAGAGGGAGAGGGAGAGGAAGAGAGATAGAGAGAGGCAGAGAGAGACACTTACTTTGGTGGTTTCAGGTCCCTGTGAATTAGAGCTTTGGGCTGCATGCTGTGAAGGTAAGCCACTCCTTGGGAACACTGTAAACACCAACTCATGGCATGGGCAGCAGTGTAATATGGCAATGGTTCAGCACCATGCAGCACTGCAAAAGAAAAGCACAAACTAAAAAGAACTTTATTGCATATAACAAAAGATACAAAATGAATGCAAGCACTATCAGAACACATGACTGGGTACTTTTTCATACAGGCTCCTACCAGTCCTGTTTTTAATTATTTTCTAAATAAAAAGATAGAAACATCTAATAATTTCAAATGGATAACTACCACATAAGCACCTAACATTTTATAGCACTTCCATTAAATTATACATACACTGAAGTCAAATTAATATATATTACCATACTTTTTTATATTAATAAAAGTATCTCACACAATTATATAAATTACAAGCAAAGTGATGCACACTATTATGAGAGATAGATTAGTAGTACAGAAGGAGACAAAATGTGAATCAAAATGTTTACAATTACGCTTTCTATAATCGTTAATGACTACAAATAGTTTAATCAAATAAAACAATGGAGTATACCCATTAAGAATGATGAAAACATAGGCAGTAAATATAAGTAAAAATTTATATAAAATAATGTTAATTTGAAAAATAAAAAGCAACAATTTACTTTATGTAAATGGTTCAACAAGAGATGATACATTTACATATATGGTTGGTGTTTCTTAGAGTGAAAGAGTTCTGTTCTATAAAGGTAACTAGTTAATAATACATTTTTCTTTCATTGTTATAATTAAAATGTTTTGCAAAATGAGTTTTCACAGTTTTATTTTTTGTAAAGAACGCAAAATAAAGCAGACTGAAATGGAAGTATGGTTAAAGAGTTCTAAAATAGGAAGGCTCAAAGTTAAGAGTGGCAAAAAGAAAAGTGAGAAGATATTTTAAAATCTATTTAAAAGCAAATTTTACTTTACTTAAATGCTTCTAATATTATGAAAAGGACCATCAATTTAAAAGGTACATATATTTCCATTTCTAAATTTTACATACTAATGTTGTAGTGTCTTATCTTTTTATTTTTAATCTTTAGCAGATTTCTTTTTTTAAATTATCTCCTTTGGGAACTCTGAAGGTAAATGTGAAAAATATTAACCTTACAGTTTATGTTAAAAGCTTTTCAATTCTACTAGATACAGACAGGTCTAATGACACTCACCATTATATAAAGAGCCCCCTTCAGCATATTCCATCACAAGGCACACCTAAAGGAAACATGCCAGAATAATTTAACCACAGAGCTACAGCTATCTCAGAAGACTTGAAAGAAAACTTAGTTCAACCTTTGATTTTATAAATGCATTAAAAGAGATTCTCTTGGCCCCTACGTAAATGGCACTAGTGAGGGGGTTGGCTGTACTCAGGGGAAAAAAAGGTATCTATGATCTAAAACCTTGTCAGTCTAGGCACCCACTGTCTAAGAGTAGAGAAGTATGTAAAAACATAATCAGAAGATCTTTGGGGCTTTCTCCAGTGCTAATGAGTAGGTGCCATCACAGAATAGCGTAAGCCTCATAAGATGAGGTTACTGGATAAGAACACCTAAGACAACTCCTTCAATAATACTGGCTAGAAACGAATATATAAAGTACAATCCTCCCCTCCCCCCAAATAATATAACAGCAAACTACACATCTGTCATGTAATTTCTTATACTGTTGACAATGAAAGGTGACAAACTTACTGGATTCAAACAGGCTCCATATAGCTTTACAATATTTGGATGGTTCACACGGGATAACTGCCGAAGCTGTAACAAATTAAGCTTTCTTTTAAAAAGTGCTAACTTTTGAGGAACTGATTTCACAGCATCATTAAAGTCTTAAGGTTGTACAAAACATTAATCATTCAACAATCACTGTTTACTACATAGCAGCACTGTGGTCATAAGTGCCTGCCCAGAATGGCACAGAATCCCTGCCCTAAAGATCTCCCAGTTTAGTTGGGCAATAGACATGTAAACACATAATTAAAGCAATGTGCAAAGAGTCATAACAGGAGTTATAGACAGGCATAACAAGTACAAACAAGAAGAAAGTAACTTGCCCAGAAATGTTAGGACAGCATCCCAGAGATGGCACTGGGCTGAGTTACTGAAGCCAGAAAAAGCCATCTTATGGTTGTCATCATCATCTTCATAGCTATGGTTGAATAATCTATCTACTCTATGCTGGGCCCTGGTGGACACTTTATAGATATTGTATAATTCTCATAACTCTGCAAGATGAGGAATCTTTAAGATAAGGCTCAGAGAGGATTAAGTGAGCTGCTAAATACCCTGCAACCAGGACAACTACAGCTTTGTCCTAGCTGGTCTCCCTACTTCCAGTTTTAATCCTCCCTGATCCAATGATTCATACTGAGGTCAGTGAGGGGTTTGGCTGTATTCATTTCTCTTGTTTACATCTCAAACTTCTATTAATATGTCCCCTCAAACTGCTCCTTGCTGCCTTTCTTCTCTACCTTCTCTCTTTTCTGTCTTTCCCCCTCTCTTCGTCCTTCCCTTCTCTATTACCTACAATATACTGTTGGCTCATATGAAGTTCATTAAGGTAAATCTTTTTATGATATGCAACTAGAAAGCTGTACTTTTCTACAGCCAATATTTACGACTTTGGTCCTAATAGTATTGATAACACTATTTGTTATACATATTCATTTATTACATATAAACACATATTTATTATATACCATCTTGTTAACATTTAGCACTGAGGTTTAGTTGGCAGATTATTCAAGCATTTATTCCTGCTCTCTCTCAAAATCCCACTAAGACAGCAAAGGTTGTTTTTTTTTTAAGGCATAAACTCAGAAGGATGAACAGACTGTAAACATTTTGGAAGCTGGAAAGGAAATGACTAGCAATAACTGACAAAGCAGACTTAAAAAGAAATGAGAAAAAATGAGAAGTAAGCAGATTTAGCTCACAAAACCTCCTAAAGTTTGGGCAGTGGTGGTAGCACGAGATACGTAAGCAAGTAAGCTAATAAAAGAACAGAGAGATGGGTTGAAAGTTAGACCCCAAAAAACTCCTCCCTGACTTCAAACAGCTTAGTGGCTCTTTATCATCCCAAAGATTAGAGGTGTGGATACTTTAGAGAAGGTATAATAAAGAGTCTCTGGACTGGGGACACCAAACAAAATTTAGAAATGAGCTCAAAGTAGCTGCCTCTGAGAAGCAGAAAACTTGAAAGAAGGTATAAGGAACTGAATTTTTTTAGCAAGAGTATATGGAGAACCAACAATTTAAATTACACATATGTATAACCTTGATTAAATTTTTTTCTCCAAGCTATTATAATCTTTTTGACTCTCATTTCCTAGCATTTAACACCTATGCTTTTACCTAGTTTTGTCAAATTGTCAGTAGAAGAGTATATAATCAATGACCTAATCTAAACTATAAACAAAAATTATGAGTAAGCAAGGCTGAGGCCAGACTCCTGGAGCATACTACTGGAGATTAACTTTCTTTATGATACTATCAAACCATTCATTAGTATTTCTCAACTCATTCAATTAATTACAAAATCCAATTCATCATATCACAACCAAGTTCTCATTTCTCAATGTTACACATTTAAAAATATCATGCAGTATATTTAAAAATTATCATTAAATAAAGTCACTGATATGAATTCAGAAGGTTTATAAAGACTACTTATCCACTGGCTGATAAGGTTAAAAAGCAATAGAACCACTGATTTAGTGAAACACTGTGATTTAATGTACAAAATTAATAGAGAATAAGTCTGATAATTTAACAATCTCATGATTATTAAATTCTCTATAAATCCTATATAATAAAAGGGTAATATGCAAATTGATCCTAACGGTGGAACAACTGGGAATGACCGGTTGCTATGATGTGCACTGACCACCAGGGGGCAGATGCCCAACACAGGAGCTGCCCCCTGGTGGTCAATGCATTCCCACAGGGGAGCTCCGCTCAGCCACAAGCTGGGCTAACGGCTGCGAGCCTCTCGCGCCTTCCTCAGTGCTAAGGATGTCTGGCTGAGACTTAGGCCTGCTCCCCAGGGGACTGGGCCTAAGCTGGCAGGTGGACATTCCCCGAGGGCTCCCGGGCTGCCAGAGGGATGTCCGACTGTGGGGAATCGGGCCTAAGCCGACAGGTGGACATTCTCCGGACTGCAAGAGGGCACAGGCTGGGCTGAGGGACACCCCTGAGTGCATGAATTTTTGTGCACTGGGCCTCTAGTATATCTATAAAAGAACAGAGTTGTAAATGTTCACACTACATGAGAAAAACCAAATTTGAAATTATTTTTCCTTAAAATAATCTCATTCAAATTTCTAAAAATATCCAGTCAAAATGAATGCATTTCCTATCTTAATTTTAGATAATGGGAGAGAATAGTATTTCTTTTCTATTTTAAAATTTAAATTTGATGCCTTGAAATAGATCTGAATTATATTTTAATTCAGGGATGAATTCATTTAGTTAAGTCTCCTTTCCCCCTTATTTTTAATCAGAATGAAGACTGTGAATGAAAAAATGTTCCTATGGCATTACCTTTAGTCATCCAAATAGCTGATATTCAAGTATATGGAGAAGTGACAATTGAGAAACATTTTTTCATAATTAAATTCAGAATATCTTAGGTGAAAAAAACTATACAATAGAAATAACATCTCATCTTACCTCTACAATAAAAGCTTTCCTCTCAGATTCACTTTCTATTTGTTTAATAGCAACATCTTTTGCTCTCCACTTAGCTTTGCAAACTACCCCAAAGGCTCCTCTTCCAACAACCTAAGTTAAAAAAGAAAAAAAAACACACCATGAGAATTAGAAGCAAGCAAATCCAGTCCAACATATAACACTAAAGCTAATCAGAAAGACTTATTAAAGTGAGGATAAATGAAATACATTTGTCTCTATATTTGAAAGTTTATGATCTACACATCTCTTCATTCTCAAGTAAAGCCAAAACAGCAAACAAAAAAGATTCTTGAAGACAGGAAATAAAAGAGACAAGATGAGGAGAGAGAAAATGGTCTGAAAAAATAAAAAGATACATAATCAATGTTTTAAGCTATCATATTTATGAAATTAAAAATAGCTTTGAATAATTCAGTAGCATTAGACAGGGAGGGGAAAAGGATAAAAGTGTAGATAAAAGATTGGCCATTGTGAAGGACAGACAAAATGTGGCATCTACACTAATAAAAGAGAAACATGGTAATTAGCGTACGACCGCTACCCTTCCCATTGGCTAATCAGCATATCCTTATGCAAATTAACTGTCAGCCAAGATGGCGGCCGGCAGCCAGGCAGCTGGAAGCGAACATGAGGCTTGCTTGCTCCAGGGACTGCAGACTCCAACGTTCCCCGCCTGACTTGCCGGCCTCTGAGTTGCAACTCTAAGCAACTATGTACTATGTTGCAAATGTAGAAGCTAAACAAAACCCCAGAAATCAGCTTTCAGCCTGCCGGGATCTCAGAGCTGAAGTTATACATTGTTTCGATTATAGAACGGCAAACAAACCAGATACGAAGCCTCAGAGCTAGAGCCAGAGCTAAAGCTGGCCTAGAATAAAATAAAAAAAAGAGAAAAAAAAGGAGCGGTTGGGAGCTTCAGTCAACAACCACCAGCCTGAAAGCAGCCCTCAGCCCCTCACCCAGACTGGCCAGGCACCCCAGTGGGGACCCCCACCCTGAAGAGTGTGTGACCAGCTGCAAACAGCCATCATCCCCTCATCCAGGCTGGCCAGGCACCCCAGTGGGGACCCCCACCCTGATCCAGGACACCCTTCAGGGCAAACCAGCCTGCCCCCAGGCCTCTATCCTATATAGTAAAAGGGTAATATGCCTCCCAGCACCGGGATCAGGGGAGCCGAAAGGCCTCCTGGCACCGGATCAGCGTGACAGGGGGCAGCGCCCAAACCCCCTGATCGCCCTGCAGCTCTGTGTGTGACAGGGGGCGGGGCCACAACCTCCCTATCCGCTCAGCTCTGTTCGTGACAGGGGAAGGCGCTCCAACCTCTCTGATGGGCCCTGCTCTGTGAGTGACAGGGTGCGGCGCTCCAACTCCACTCTCTCTCACGGGTCCTGCTCTGTGTGTGA